TGTAGGCATGGTGGAGAGGGGTCCCAGGGTACCAGCCCAAGAGATCCAGGAGGAAGGCTACTGACAACTACATCTGTCATTCCTCAGTCATTGCTCCTGCAGGGGCGGGAGAGCCATGCTATTGATTCATCATTTGGGTGATTCATCCCGGTCCCCCAGGCCAGCTGCTGAGAGACCCTTCCTCATCCATTTTTCATCTTCTAGAATGTCCCTGCCCCCTAGGCCATAGCGCTCCAGGACTTGGCTGGCAGTGAGCACCTACTGTGTAAAGCCTCTGTGTCTGGGACTGGGGGTCCGGCTGTCTCCCCAGATGGCTCCTGCTTCTCCCCCACTTCTCCCCCATTTACCACCACACATATTGGTCATCACCGCCTTTGAGGAGGCTGATAAGAGCATCTCCCCAACCAAGGGTTGGCCAGCTTCCCTGAGTCAGGATGGAGAGCCATCTAGAGCTAATAGGTCGGGCTGGGAGGGCTGTGACTTGCCACCCCTCCTGCCTGTTCGAGGAGGGTTGGGGGTGAGGCCCTGGTTGGGGGGTGGGGTATGCAGCAAATGGCCTAGGGATGGCCTGATGGGGGCAGGGCCAGGGCCTCCCTGTGCCCGGTACTGTTGACGCCTTCTGTCACAAGGGCCTTTTGTTTTCTGCACAGGACACATTGAATAATAATTCTCTGGGCAAGAAGCACAGTTGGCAGGATCGGGTGTCTCGGTCATCCTCACCCCTGAAGACTGGTAAGTCAGGACCGTTTCCTTTACCTGGCCCTACACCTGCCTCAGTTTCCTCAGCAGAGAGCAACCCTGGCAGCCTCCATCTTGCTGAGCTGAGGTAAACTGCCCATCCCACAGCCTTGAGCAGGCCCATCTGAAGTCAGCTGGGGCGGGAGGGAGAGAGCACTGGTCCCAGAGCCCCCCGGGGCCCAGGAGCCCTCGCCTGGGTTTCTGTGTCCCACATGCTGAGTGGAGAGGGCAGGTGGCCTGGGAGGCAGGGGTGAGGCCACCCTCCTTGAGCAGCGACCTGCCTGCCCTCCAGGGGAGCAGACGCCGCCACATGAGCACATCTGCCTGAGCGATGAGCTGCCACCCCCAAGCAGCCCCACGGCCACCAAGGACCGAGGCACCTCCACTGACAGCCCTTGCCGCCGCAGCACCGCCACACAGATGGCCCCTCCCGGCGGCCCCACCGCTGCCCCACCGAACAGCCGGGGCCACTCGCATCGAGACCGCATCCACTACCAGGCCGACGTGCGGCTAGAGGCCACCGAGGAGATCTACCTGACGCCGGTGCAGAGGCCGCCGGACCCCCCGGAGCCCAGTTCTGCCTTTCTGCCCCCGGCAGAGAGCCGGATGTCTGTCAGCTCCGATCCAGACCCTGCCGCCTACCCCTCTGCGGCGGGCCGGCCGCACCCCTCCATCAGCGAGGAGGACGAGGGCTTCGACTGCTTGTCGTCCCCGGAGCGGCCCGAGCTGCAGGGTGGAGGCTGGCGGGGCAGCCTGGGGGAGCCGCCGCCGCCCCCACGGGCCTCGCTGAGCTCGGACACCAGCGCGCTGTCCTACGACTCGGTCAAGTACACGCTGGTGGTGGACGAGCACGCGCAGCTGGAGCTGGTGAGCCTGCGGCCGTGCTTCGGGGACTACAGCGACGAGAGCGACTCGGCCACCGTCTACGACAACTGCGCCTCCGCCTCCTCACCCTACGAGTCGGCCATCGGGGAGGAGTACGAGGAGGCCCCCCGGCCGAGGCCCCCCGCCTGCCTCTCCGAGGACTCCACGCCAGATGAGCCCGACGTCCACTTCTCCAAGAAGTTCCTGAACGTCTTCATGAGCGGCCGCTCGCGCTCCTCCAGTGAGTCTGCGGCCGGCGTGCTGGGGCACCTGGGAGGGGAGGGCACCGAATCGAGGCTGCTCCTGGAAGGGGGCCCCGCCCGTCTGCTTCGATGTGTCAGGACTGAGAGCTTGCTGCCTGCACCCCCCACCCTCAAGCGGAGTGGGTCCGTTCTCCAGCTCGGCCCCTCGCTTCCAGGTGCCGAGTCCTTCGGGCTCTTCTCCTGTGTCATCAACGGGGAGGAGCAGGAGCAGACTCACCGGGCCATTTTCAGGTAAGAGCCGCAGTGTTGGGCCGGCCAGGCAACCGTGGGGCCACCCCTCCCTGCCTCTGCCCTCACTATGGGGCCTAGACCCAGCCTTCACGCTGGCACTTGTGTCTCCACCAGCGCCAGGGGCACAGGGCGCACCCGGGTGGGACTCCAGGTGGATGGATTCAGGCCATGCTACCTGTGATGCGCCGCCAGGGCCCAGGACCGAGCAGCCCATCTGGCGGGGCAGGGGTGGGGGTCCAGAGCCCGGGAGGGGGTCCGGCAGAGATGCTGCCCAACCCCATACAAGGCATAGCTATAGCCCTCCCTGCCCTCCACAGGGAAGGGCTCACTTCCTGTTACCTCTGTGTTTTCCGAGTGGCTCTGGGCACTTCCTCCCTGAGCCCCCGAGTTCCTGGATGGCAGGGGCCCGTCTGTGTGATCTTGAACTTCCCCAGGAACTAGCAGGCCCAGGCCCAGGATACTCTGTGGAGGTGTATTGAACTGGTCCCGCTTCGGCGGCAGCCTGCCCCCAGAGAGAGGGGGAGCCGACAGATAGCCAGGCTGGGGAGGGCCCGGTGGTGAATTCCTCCCATGCCCTTGCGGGGGACAGGTTTGTGCCTCGACACGAGGACGAGCTGGAGCTGGAGGTGGACGATCCCTTGCTGGTGGAGCTGCAGGCCGAGGACTACTGGTATGAGGCCTACAACATGCGCACGGGCGCCCGGGGCGTCTTCCCCGCCTACTACGCCATCGAGGTCACCAAGGAGCCCGAGCACATGGCAGGTAGCGTCCTTTCCCCTCCTCGGCGCCACTGGGCCCCACTTTTGCCCAGACATGCTGCCAAGTGACTCTAAAGCCACAGGGAGGGCCCTCACAGGACAACATTAGGTCCAACTCCGTCGGAGAGAAGGGAGGCCCGGCCGAGTTGGGACATCTGTGGGCGGCGGGCCCCTCTGCTGCCCCACCACCCCTCACTTCATGCTTGTTTTCCAGCCCTGACCAAAAACAGCGACTGGGTGGACCAGTTCCGGGTGAAGTTCCTGGGCTCCGTCCAGGTTCCCTACCACAAGGGCAACGACGTGCTCTGTGCTGCTATGCAAAAGGTACCCGGTCCCCGCCCCCCGCCTAGGCCCCCTCCTCTCCTGGGGAGACAAGACACCCAGTGCCTGATTCCCGTCCCTCACCCACAGATCGCCACCACCCGCCGGCTCACCGTGCACTTTAACCCGCCGTCCAGCTGCGTCCTGGAGATCAGCGTGCGGGGCGTGAAGATTGGCGTCAAGGCTGATGATTCCCAGGAGGCCAAGGTGACCGCCTCTGCCCCCCGGGTCCCCACCAGATCTCCCACCTGTGGCCCCTGCGGGCTGATGACACCCTGCCTCTCATCTCCCTCCTGTAGGGGAATAAATGTAGCCACTTTTTCCAGTTAAAAAACATCTCTTTCTGTGGATACCATCCAAAGAACAACAAGTAAGTGGGAGGGGCACCATGAGGTGTGAGGGGGCAGCCTGGGGCCGTTACGGTCGGGTGCGGGTCTGCGAGTATGTCTGAGGGGTCTGCGCCCCTGTCCCGCTCTAAGACAGATGGCGGTCCTCCCGCAGGTACTTTGGGTTCATCACCAAGCACCCTGCTGACCACCGGTTTGCCTGCCATGTCTTTGTGTCCGAGGAATCCACCAAAGCCCTGGCAGAGTCTGTGGGGTACGGCCCTGTGTCTGTGTGTCTGTGTGTCTCCTGCCGAGCGCCCGGCCCCAGAGTGAGCCCTGGGCCCCCTCCCAGCTCTGCGGGCCTCATGGCCTTGAGCCCAGGCGGGGCGGTCCTGAGGACTAGCTCCCCGCCGGGTCAGGCCCTTCCTTCGGCGGCAGTCTGACCCAAGAAGGGCAACAAGCAGAGAGCGGAGCCGAGCCCCTCCGTCTGGGGGAGCCTGAGCCCTGCCCAGGGAGCCCCAGGCTCCAGGTGAAAAACCAGGGGTGGAGATGGTGTTCTCCCCATCACCTGTGTGTCTGCCTGCCTTCTAGGAGAGCGTTCCAGCAGTTCTACAAGCAGTTCGTGGAGTACACCTGTCCCACGGAAGACATCTACCTGGAATAGCCGCGTGGCCCCGCTCTCTCCACACCCGGGGCCCGCGCCGGAACAGTTGGCTGCCAACAGGACGCAGCACGCTAGCAGAGGGGCGCCCGTCACCCCCAGAGGACGGGGAAGTCGGGGCCTCTGGCCAAGGGTGGGGGAGGGCGGGGTTTTGGGGAGAGGCAAATGCAGTTTATTGTAATATATGGGACTAGATTCATCTATGAAGGACAAAGCAGGCTGCCCAGGGATTGGGAGGGGGCGGGCCTGGGGGGGATAGCGTCAGGCCTCTGGCCAGGAAGGATGCCCAGAGCAGAGGGCTCTGGCCCATCCTAGGCATCGCTTTCTCTGCCAGGGCCTCTGGCTCTCCGGCTGTGGCTCCTGCTTTGACAAAGCCCATGCCACTTGCCAGCGTCCCCTCTGCTCCATCCCCAACTCCCAACCCCAACTGAAGTCCCTGAGCTCACGCTGAGCCCAGCCACCTCCCAAGGACTTCGCAGCAGGTGGGGGGGGTGCAGTCCCTGTTCCCGGCTCTGTCACCTGGGTGGCCTCTGGCTGGCCGTCATGCTGGCCCCTGGCACGTGTGGGGCCTCACCAGGGAAGGAGAGCACTGCGGCAGGGCCCCATCCCGGCAGGAAAAGGCGGCTCCCGGATTGGCCCAGGCCAGCCAGGGCCTCTCGGCTGCTTGGGCTGTAGCCCCAGCTTGGTCCTGTCATCCTGGCCACAGCTATTAAAGTGCCATTTCCTGTCTGGACTGCAGTTGCTGTGTCTCCCGCCCCCACCCCCCGGCCCCAGCTGGCGTCCGTGTCAGGAAGGCCCAAGCCATGGCTGCACAGAACAGCTTTATAAGGGGCGCCAGTCACAGGTGTGCGTCGTAGTAATACTCAGCCATGTCTGGCCCATCCCGCTTGCGCTGCTGGGCCTGGGAGAGGAGGGGTCGAGGCCCTCGTGGCCAGGGGTGCTTGGGTCGAACCCCATAGTCTGAGGAGAGAAGAGGGTGTGGGTGGCAGGGGGAATCCACCAAGATCACCCCAGAATGGTGCCATTTGGGATGAAAAGCCCCGGAGGCTGGGTGTGGGTGCCCTCCCCTAGGGCATGTGTCCCCGGGGGGCATGCAGGGCGTGGGGACAGGGCGGCTGGGCAGGGCAGGGCTGAGATACTACCATCCACTAGGCCGGAAAGTGGCTGCGAGAGTTCCAGAGGGGCTGAAAATTCTTCAGGAACAGATCGCTGAGGCCTGCGGGAGGTGTTGGGGTGCTCAGCCCGGGCCCTTACAGGCCATTAACCACCTCCCTGTGAGGGCTCAGGGTGGGGGACTGCGTGAGCCGCGACACCCAGGACTATGGCACCAGCCAGTCCTCCGGGAAGAGGAGCGGGAGGCAGCACGACAGAGCCTCACCTTTGGGCCCCTGAGCCTGTGCCCCCAGTTGTTACCTCAGTGGCTGGGGGCGGAGGAGTGCAGCTGCCAGGAGGAGGTAGAGGAGGAAGAGGCTCAGCCCAGCCCTGGGACGCAGAGCCCCCAGCATGGCGAGAACCATCTCCTATTCAGGTCCCTGTCCTCTGGCTTCTGCCTGCCCCTCCCCCGGCGGAAGGACGGGAGTGCCCACTCCCGGGCCACCTCACAAAGGGCGGGGTTCCAGGGCTCGGCCAGGCCAGAAACGTCCAGCGGAGCTTTGGTCTTCGCTTCGTGTTGTCGATGCTGTTGGCCAACAGGTGCCAAACAGCTTCTTGCTCTAGTGTCACTGCCCGAGGGTTAAGGGCATAGAATTTTGGCATCTGATCTCCATTCATAGCTCCACCTTGTCTCCTGCGAGGCGGCCATGTCACAGTCGTGGGCCGCCTTCTCGTCTCTGAGGTAAGGTGCATACCTAGGTGCCCAAGGAGTGGCACGCAGGAGAGGTCACGTGGAGAGCCCCAGCCGTTCCCACTCCGCCGCCCCCTGCCTCCTGCTGCCACCGCCCTGTTTCCCCCCCACCCCCCAGTGATGCCGGGACCGTCCTCCAGCCAGAGAGCATCAGGCAGGCCATTCAGCCCTGGCCCGCGGGTCGGGCTGCTCTAAGAGACACCCCCCAGTTCCCCGGAGCTTCCAACAGCCCGGGCCCCGGGGCTCCCCAGGCCCTGCCACCACCCCTGAGGCTGGACAGAGGGATTTTGAGTCGATGGCAAAGCCTGCTCCCTAGAGTGGAAGCTTCCCGAGGGTAGAGACTGGTTTCGTTTGAGGCAGGATCCCCAGCCACAGCCGGTGGATGCTCAATAAAGATTTGTTGAATAATAAATGCAACTCGCTAGCACGGAGCCGGGCTCCTCCCGCCCGGGGTGGGGCTGCGGGCCCCTCCCTGGCTTCCTGCCCAGCCCAGAGCGCGCAGCCCAAGCTCACCTCCGAACCCCCGGCCCACTCCAGACCTGTGCACTCAGAACCCGAGGGCTGAGCAGGGCTCTGCACTTCGGGAACCCCATCGCTTCTTAGCAGACCTTCCGGGGGTCCAGCCCCACACCCGTAACTGCCCACGTGCCCAGGGCTGGGAGAGGGACATCCCTGACTCCTGGTCCTCAGTAACCCCCAGGGTGACAAGTGCTGGCATCTCCTTCAGACTGTCCCTGTGTGCTCTGAGCCCACATGCTAACTGCTCAGTGGTCATCTCCCTGTGTCCTGGACACAGCTGTCCCTCAACAAACTCGGGTCCCCATCTTCTGTTCTCACCGCGGCCGGGAACCCACAGTTCTGGACACTCTGCCCAACTCAGTCCCTCATCCCTCACCCTCCTTGCCTCTAAGATGCCACCATCTCCCTCTCTAGCCACACCCACTCCCGAGCCTGCCTGAATCCAGGCCCATCCACTGCTGGAGGATTCTGCCACTGTGTCCCTGTGCTCAGCCTCCAGCACCGCCCCATGGGAACCCCTGCACCAGGCTGCTTGGGTGAGGTGTATTTTTTTAGCAAGTTTTTATTTGAGAGAGAGCACAAGCAAGGTGAGGGGCAGAGGGAGAGGCAGACCCCTGCTGAGCAGGGAGCCAACTTGATCCCGATGTGGGATTGGATTCCGGAACTCCGGCAACAGGACCTGAGCCGAAGGCAGCAGACCCATTACCGACTGAGCCACCCAGGCGTCCCGGGGATGAGGTTTAAAATGCTCCCCTCCCCGCTGCCTTCCGGAGGCAGGTCTGAGTTTCTTGTGATTTGCTGTGCACGTCATCTTCCAGCCGAGGCCTGCAGGGCACTGACGCGGGGTCACCCCCACTAGAACAGAGGCCTCCCTGACGGGTGTGCCCTCCACAGGCATCTGTCCTCTGCTCTCCCACCTCGGACCCGGCCTTCCTCAGGGACCCGCTCCTACCTGTTCTCACGCCCCGTGTGCCTCATTTCCGTGTCTCCGCTGGCGGGTGAGTGCCCGGCGGGGAGGCCTGCTCCCCTCCCGCTGCACGGACAGCCCCGGGCCAGACCCCACTTATAGGGCACATGCCCGGCTACAGTCAGGGCTCCAAGCTGTGACCTCCCTGAAGGGCTTGTCCCTTCACCCTCCAGTCCTGGACCTGGATGTGCCTTCAGGGCGGGGGGCAGGGAAAGGCTGCCCCCCTCCCCACAGTTCCCCCCAGAGTGACGGAGGAAGTGAGGCAGGGTAGAAGCTGGTGCGGATGGAGCCCTTGGAACTCAGAGGGCGGCTCATTGGGCTAGACACTGCAGCAGGAGAGGACAGTCTGTTCACAGGGGCCAGGGGTGGCGGCTGAGAAGGGGACGGGCCAGGCAGATCAGTCAGACTGCAGCTGCTCGGTCTGCGCACTCGCACCTTCCCCAACAGCGTGCGTGTGCGTGTGTGCGTGTGTAGCTCTGGGAGACGTGGTCTCCAGGGAGCTGGCAGGGAGCGTGCATGGAGACCCCAGCTCACACTCCCGAACCTGCACCCGCTCAGGATCTGAGTCCCTCTGACACCCGCCCCCAGCATTGGCCCCATGGCTGGCTGGTGCCTATGGGAGAAAACCTTCCGCCATCAAATGGGGGCTGGGGGCTCCAGGGGTCACCAAACCAAGCTGGGCCCACCAGTCACCAGGCTCCGGCACAGAGAGTCTGGCAGGCTGGAGTGACAGGGCCCTGCAGGGAGGGGGCAGAGGCTCTGGCCAGAGGCCACACAGGCAGCTGTCACTGCCTGCCCAGCTGGGCCTTGTCTGTTGTCACCAGGATCGGGGACAGAGGTGTGGGATTAACCTCCGCAGCTGCCATGGCCAGCAGCTTCCCACGCTGGCAGAGACCAGATCCCAGCTCTCTGTGGCCGGAGAAGCCCAGGCCCCTGTCCCAACCGAGGCTTCTCAGCCCAGGGATGAGGGGCAGGAGGCAGTGGCTCCGTGGCCAGAGATGTTCGGGAGGTGCTCGGGTGGCCCGGCTGCTGGGTGGGGGTGCCAGGAGCGCCGGGCAGCGGGATGGAGACGCCACAGGCGGGCTCGCTGCCAGAGTCGGTTTATTAGGGTGACCGAGCGGCTGGGGCACCCCTGCCCCTCCCTGCACCCACTCCTGGGATAGGTCAGCCCCAACTGTAGAAATAAATTTTCTGCCAGGCAGGCAGGTAATCCATGAGCGGCCCTGCAACGAGAGGGAGTTCGGAGCTGAGGGCCGGACTCCAACCTGGCCCCAACCTGACTCCGCTCTACCTGAGGCCCTTCTCAGCTGCAGCGGCCCCAGCCCGGCTGCTCGCATCTGCTGGGCCACCAGCCCCACAGACTCTCCCACCTGCCTGCCCCTAGGAGAGCAGCAGCAGCAGTGACCTTTGCCCCCTTTGCAAAAAGACCCTCAGGCTTCAAGAAGCCACAGGGCTGGTCCCACTGTGGACACTGATGGCCTCTATGCTGAGGGGAGAGCTCCAAACAGCCTGGTGGGCGCCAGAAAGCCCCAGAGAAGCCAGCGGTATACGGCTCCGGGGTCCCGGGGCAGCTAAGGCTGACAGCCCAGGGCGGCCCTACACTTCTCCCAGGACAGGACACCCCCTTCCAGCCACCCCTGAGGCTCTATGGGCCAGCCTGACCCTGCCTAGGAGCTGTCACCCGCCCAACCTGACCTCTGGGCTCCCTCTCCTGACTGTGTCAAGAATCAAATGACAAGGAGATAAAGAGACAATAGTCAAGAACACGGGCCACTGGACAGACCCGTGACACTCCGTAATCATCGCACCCTGTCCCGCACTTACTTGCCACCAGGCCAACGCCCGGAACGTGGTCTGCCAGCAGCCGGAGCAGGAAGAGAATCCTCGCCCTGCAGAGACATGAGCAGGAAGCAGGCTGAGGAGGGGGTCTGGGTGCCTATGACCCCGGCCATTGGCCTGGACCGCCCACAGCTCAGCTCCGGACTTGGCCTTACTCGCGGCACCACACAACACACCTCCCTCGTCCTGCCCTTCCTTCTCCTGAGCCAACGCATTCCTGGGGCACCGCACGTGGGCCAGTCCCAGCACAGGGCTGGTGAGGGCCCAGAAGGACAGCCCCACCTTCGAGAAGCCCCGTGAACCAGAAGAACTGAGCCACACTGAAACCTCATGAGCCAATGTTGAGTGACCAGGCCCCCTGAGGGGGGCACACTCAGAGGAAGGGGCCAGGGCCAAAGCCTTATTTTTTGTCTTTTTTTAAGAGATGGCACTTTCCCATGGGAGGACCTGGGGTGACACGACAGTGCCGGGGAGGGTAACAAGAGAAATGACGACAAGACTCGGCATCTGCTGGGTGATTCTGTGCCAAGCACCCCCGTACGTCCGAGGTCACAGAAGGCCTCCCACAACCCTTTGAGGCGGGCACGATCACATCCCCGTCATTCAGATGAGGCACAGAGAGGTTCAGCAACTTGCCCAAGGTCACACAACTGGAAGGCAGCCCGGCCCCAGAGATGACACTCGGTCTCTGACAGGAAGGACAGGGGTCTCCCCGCACAGCCTGCGCCCCAGAGCCACTCAGCAGCCCACTCCCTGTCCTCTGGGGAAACAGGAATTTCTCTGGCAGGTTTCTAGACCTTTCTCAGTCTGAGCCACTGCTGTAAGGGTACTAGGCTGGTCTGCTCGGCAGGAGCCACACTAGAGGCTCGCCGCCTATGGGGCCACCTCTGCCGGTATGGTCGCCTCAAAATGCCTCAGTTCCGAGATCCTGGGGCTACGCTTCCTCTGCAAAGGGCAGACCGTTTGTGGGGGGAGCTCATATGGTCCACGTAAGTCTCTGGAATATTCCTTCAGAGCAGGGAATAGGATTTGGCTTTAGTAGCTTGTGAGCTTGCAAACTTAGCTGGAAACAGGGACAGCCAGGCCCGGCTGTTCTCACAATGAGGTGGCATTAAGCACGGCCCAAACTCACTTCCTACTGCCTCAGAAACAAAGCAAACCAAACCCAAACAGAGGCTGTGCAGTCCTAGCAGGAAATGTGATTCCGGGTACGACTGCAATCTTCCAGCAGAGGACTTACTAAGACAGGAGCCTCCGGTCTGTCTCCTGGTCCCTGTCGCCGTACAGGGACCCCCACCTCAGATCGCAGTCACATCTCAGGCAGTCACCCGGCAGACCTTGGGGCACTTGGTCCCAGGCCACCCCCCACTTGCCGCCAGTGGGCCCTCTGAGCCTGGCTAAGGCCGGAAGTTCTGGGCCCTCAAAGAAGACAGAGCAGGGGCTGGGCAAGGTAGGGACAGGCTAAGAGAGAGCATGGTGGTGGCCCCTGGCTCTGCCACAGGCCAGCTGGGCGGTTTGGTTTAAGGCGCCCAGTTTCTGTGAACTTCAAGGGCCTCTCTGCAAGGTGCAGCTCCAAACCACTCAGCAGGAAGAAAGTACCCCCCCTCCCCCCGCACCATCCCCATGGCCCTGCCCTCAGCACGCCCAGGGCTGGGCCAGGGGCCTGAACACCCCAAGGCAGTGGGTGCAGCCGGGCCAGGCCGAAGGTGGGCCTCGCCCCTCCTGGGGCCTGTCCTCACTCGGAGAAGCGGTCGTAGAACGGGGAGCGCAGCAGGTAGTAGAGCAGCAAGATGGTCCGTCGCCGCAGCTCCAGCCGCTCCCTCCGACTCAGGCCCTTCCTGTCGCTCAGGAGGCTCAGGCTGGGGGCAGGAGGGAACGCGGTCAGGGCCAGCAACGGGGGAGGGGGGCCCCCCCATCTGCTCCGGTGGAGACAGGTCTGCAGCACAAAACCCAGCAGAGGGAGTGGTCTCCCCAGGCAGCCCCAGGCTCACCTGGTCACATCCACGACCCCAGAGAGGAGCCAGGGTGTCCACGACCGCTGACCCCACAGGCCCAGGCTGAGCACTGACGGCCACGGTGTCAAGGAGGTCTCCAGCACATGGCCCACCCCGCCCCCCGCTCCCCATGGGCCCCCCCCTGCAGGGCTGGCCAGCCGTGGGCTGAGGATACAGTGCAGCAGCGGCCGGGCGATGTACAAGGACTCTGCGATGGTCTCCTGCAGGCCCAGAGGGGTGGGGGTGACACTCAGCTCCTCGCGCTGCTGCTGTTGCTGCCGTCGCTGCCGTCCCTCCCGCTGCTGGGGGGCTCCCCAGTGCCTCGAGTGCAGGGATGGGGCTAGAAACACAAGGGCCGCGGCTGAGCAGTCAGGCCCGGGCTGACCTCAGCCCTAAGGCGCCCGGACCACAACATCCTACACTTACTGCTCTGGAGGGTTCGTACCACTCGGTTTGACCGTTTCCCCACGTACGACTGCTCCTGGCTGCCAGTGCTCTGGTCACCATCTAGCAGGGACAGACAGAAGGCCATGCTGTCAGAGGGCCACGTTTCCAGCAGAGCCTGTGGAGAACACGCGTGCCGTGAACGCTCCTGGGGGCTGAGGGGAGAACAGGTGAGCATGGACAAGCCTGGACCAAGGCAGCAGCTGAGGCAGGACGCAGTCGCGAGTGACGTGGGGTCAGCACCCTCCCCGGCCTGGGGAAAGTGCAGCATCACCGGTGGCTGCCAGGGGAGCCAGCCAAGAAGCCAGACCTTCCCGGGGACTGGAGGGAGGGAGGGAAGAGGGAAAGCCCAGGCCTTCTCAGGTCTTTGCATTCAATATGACCAGGAGGAGAAGCAAAGAATGGTCCCCATGGAGGGCCAGAAGCATCAGGCCAACCGGTAAGGAGTAGGAAGCCCCGAAGGGACAGATCTCCCGGGTACCCAGCCTCACACAACTGTGGCACTTGAGATACAGAACAAAGCCCATGCTTGGCAGGACCTCTGTCTCCACCTCATGCTGTCCCTCGTTCCTGCCACCCGCAAAAAAGAATGAAGACTCTGGTGCCAGGAGTCCTGAGTTCAAGTTCTGATTATGCCTCTAGCCTCATCCTTCTTTTTTCCCTCTGTACAATACAGGGGAATGAGAGCAAACAGAAGTGTTGGGGATAGATGTGCTCCCCGAACAGATAACACGCCACTCCCGCCGGCCCTCTCGAAACCCACGAATTAGTTCCATGTGCCAGGCCGCTCCAGAGAGTGGCAACAGCTTACCAGGGGGCCGTGCCTGGGTCTCCCTGTCCAGCGGAACAATGGGGGGTGAGGTCTGGAGGCCAGCCTTGAACCAGATCAGCAGGAACATCCGCAGGACAGCCCTGGGTTGGGAGTATGACAGGGCTGCGGGGGCGATGGCTAGCCAGCAGGGGGTCAGGGGTGCTCTGGTGTACCCCATCCGAACTGCTGGCCTGAGTCCCCTCCACCCAGGACCTGCCCCCCTCAGTCCCGACGTACTTGGCCAGCTGGATGAGGGCGATGACGAGCCAACGGCCCACTTCACCCCACACCTTGGCGGCCCCCATCTCCATGAACACTTCCACACACTCCAGCACGCTCAGCCATGTCAGCAGCTTCTGCTGGGACAGCGACTGCAAGGACCCCAGGCCAAGACGTCAGGGCTGGGGGGACCAGTCCCAGGCCTTCCCCCTAGGGGAGGTAGATTTTCCCCTAGAACTATCCGTGTAGGCCTGAGTTCTCCAGGGGGCAGAGGCTACCCTACGCCTCTGAAACTCAGTCTCTTCATCTGAGACAGGGGCACTAACAACTCGACCCTTCCCCTGATGAGACGGCCTGAACTTCAGCAGACGTGGGCATGTCTCACACTGAGACGGTAACACTTGCTACACACGCAGTCCCAAAGCTTCCCGCCCTCAGCTCCTGCCAGAATTCTCACCACAGGCAACTTTTTCCGGAGCGCTCTCCGCAGGATCCCATCATTAAGCAGCACGAGCAGGTTAGAGGCAGAATACACTGAGAGGGAGAGGTGTGGCCTTCAGGGGCTGGTCCTGCAGCCTCGCCACTCTCCCATTCTCCCCAGAGCTGCAGGGATCACCTGTTACCGGCTCTCCTCCTCCTGTCCCAGACTGTGTGGAAACCAACCCGCCTCCCCACCCACTTCCTCAGAGCTCCGCGCTCCCCGGTAAGATCTCGTGTGGGTGGCTGGAACACGAAGGGATGGTTTGATCTCTGTGACAAAGCAGTGACTGCCCTGCCCCAGAGCCCTGGTTGGCCGGCTGCCCAGAACTGCCCCTCGCGCTCACAGCCATGGATGGGCGGTCTTGCCTCCTGGCCGCCTCTCTCTGCAGCCTGCCCCCGCCCCCCCGCTGGCCCAGAGGCAGCTCCAGTTCCACCTCCCGTGCTCCCTGTGCAAACACGACTGAGGCCGTTACAGTCTGAGGCTCCTCGAATGTGAGAAATCTGGGCTTGAATCCTGCCTCTGGGATCATCAGTAGCTGTCCCCTAACCTCACTGAACTGCCCCTTTAACTGGACACTGAGGACAGTTACACTATCCACCTCCTATGACTACAGGGAGGATTAACTGGGCAAAGGCAGGCAAGGTACTTGGGTCAGTGGCCCGACCAGTCAAGGTCCCCAGATTTGTCTCTGGTCTATTCGGGGGGTGGAGGGGAGATGTCAAGACAGTGGACTCTGGAGCTGTGTCCGATTCAGCACAGGACCATGTAACGGAAAACCTAGGACTGCGGACCGGGGTGGTCCCCGCTCTGGGAAGCCTCGCCGCCCCCCACCCACCCCAGAGGCCCACTCACCCAGCTCTGACAGCTCGTGAGAATCGGAGAAGCGACCTGGGGAGAAGGCACAGGAGGCGGGTGAGCATTCGCCTCAGCCTGCGGCTTCGGGCGCAGACGTCCCCTCCCTATGCCCGACGGGAACCTGGACGGAACTTCTCAAGCACAGCGATCACTACCCTGACTCGGAAGGGAAGGGGCCAGTGGGGGTCAGGGGTCAGAGCCCCTAAGGGCTGGGGCAAAGGTCAGGGTAGCACCTGCCAGCAGGTAACTGAGGCCCCGCACTGCAGTCTCCAGCTGGGCCGTGGCGGCCGGGTGACGAGTCACGTACTCCTGGTAGCGGAGGCTCAGAAGCCGCAGTTTCTCCATCCTGCCCTCGGGACGGATAGACTCACTGACCGACGGCACGACCAGCTGCAACACCCTGCTTCCTGCGCCCTCCTTCCTGCTTCCGGTCGTAGGTCCGCCTCTTCGTTGCTTAACTTCCGAGGGCCAGAAGGATATTGACGTGAAGGGCCATCGAACCACCCTTCACCCCATTGCCTAAATCACCTCCCTCCAGGGTAGCGCTTAGCAACTGCGGGCCCGATCCCGCCCTCCCTGCTCCTTCAGGTCATTGGTTAACACACTCTCCGCCCCCGACCCTCCCAACGGCGTCGGGACCTGGTTCTTCCGCCTTCCGGGTGGGCGGCCTTTGCGCCTGCGCAGTTAGCAGTTCCAGGAAAGCTCCCGCGGTAGTCTGAGCAGTTCATTCTAGAGAATGGACTGGGACCCTGGAGTCTTTCCAATAGAACGCCGAGAGGCTCGAACGGGAGGACCGTATTTTAAGGGGCGGGGAGGTAGCTTGCTAAAGGAATTTCGATCAGACTTGAGGAGGCGCGGGGACAGTCCTGGCAGGCGCCCTTTTGGCCACTTGCCTCGTCTCCCGACCCCCACCAGAGGTAGTACTCGGGAAACCGAGGCAAGGAAGAATCCAGCCCTCCACGCAGTCTCGATCCCTGGTCAGCCACTGTTAGTGTTGGGCTTCGGCCACAGCTCCCGCATGCACTGTGCGGGCGTGCAGTCCCATCCTCGCGGAGAAGACTCTGTTTCCGCCTTCGGTTCTTGGCTTGGGGTGACTTGGTCGAGTGGTTCCCTTCTCTGGGTCTCGAGTTTTCCTATCTGTAAAATGGTTTGAGGGGAGCCTTGGTCCTTGAACTCCGGCTCAGTCTCAGAGCGCTTTTCGGCCCTCGGATGCACCTTCCGGTCCTCAGCTGCTCCCCAAGGGACGGGCGAGAATACCGGGAATCTTCCCAAACCGGGCGGCCTCCCTGAAAGAGGCTGTGGCGGGACAGGAGCCGCCAGAGGCAGGGCATCTGATGCCCCGGGGAGGCCGCCACTGATTGGCTGTGGGGAAAGGGGCGGGGCCTGGGTGGGGTCAAGGATCTGATCCTTTGGGGACCTGGCTCGCTGGTTCAGGGAACTCTGAAAGTAGTAACACGTTGTTTTACCTGATTCCCTCTACGGAATATTATCAGCAGGTGTGAAAAGGATCTGCTTAAGAACGCCCAGCCACATTCGAATCTTGCTGTAGTCTGACCACAGAGCCTAGGCTGCTTCAACAACACGCCTCACTAGGAAGCCACAGCCCCTCCTAGACCTCCCCACTCCCTCACCCTCCTCTCCAGCTTAGTTTTCTTCTATATCAGGTGGGGAAACACAGCTGCCCTCCCTACTCATGCCAAGCAATGATGACCCAGGGAGATGTGTCCAGGGGCCTCGGGAGAGGCTAAAGTTCTTGGAGAACAGAGGGGGCAGTCGTGGGTATCATCAACACGGTTTCTCACCACCTCCCCGATGCCAGGCTTACTCCTAGACCACTCTTTCTGGCAACCTTGCCAGCTAGGTGTGAACTCTTTTTCACAGATGGGGAATAAGAGGCTGCAGTAGGCGAAAAGGACTTGTTCCAGGTCATGTGGCGTGGCAATGGCCAAATGGACCACAATGTGCATCTCCCACAGCAGTGCCCTCTCTCCCACTGCCCACAGCCCAGCAAGGGCAGTGACACAGTGAGGCCATGTGGTCGTGAGTCTAGCTAGCAGATGGGGTTAAGACCAGGGCTCAGGGCATTCAGTGTGGGGCTCTTTCTCCTTTCCTCCCTGTACCCCACCATTTTAATGAACCTGTTCTCGAACCTCACCAGTGAGCACTCCTCCAGTCTCTCCCTCTGCAGCCGTGGAGAAAGTGAGGACAGGACGGGGAGTGTGAAGTTTCTGTGATACTCGCAGGGCTGACGGGCCTGTGGTTCTGGGGATAAAAGGTGTGGAGGACAGAGCAGCAGTGTCCCCCAGACACAGTGAGGGGCACTGGCCTCTGTTTCTCCACCTTCCCTGCAGGACTGGGAGAGGAGAGCTGACCCAGCCACTTTGGAAGCAGCAGGGTTGCCTGAATTTCCTCTCCAGATCTCAGGCCTGATTAGGTCCCAGAAACAAAGAGTGGCCATGTGTGGAGGAGGTACTCAGCAAAGCCCCTCCCTGCTGGGTCCCTCTACCTGGCATTGGTCACCTGGCTGAGATGGAAGGGCCTCTGGGCAAGTTGGGCCAGAACCACCCATCGGTTGGCCCTGAGCCACAGGAGAAGACAGCTAGACCAGTCTAACCAGTACAGAGGAGGTCACTGAGGCCCAGAGAGGGGGCCTGACCCAGCTAAGGTCACACAGCAAAGTCCTGGGCAGAGCTGGGTCAAACGAGGTTTCAGGCCTAGAAGACTGCCCTTTCATATGGCCACACCTGTCTCCCACTCCCCCTGCCCCAGAGCAACCTGTCGGAGGCCCAGGAAGGGTCTCAGCAAGCAGCTTCCCTTGAGTGGTAAGGTTAAGTGAGGGCTGGGGCCAGTCCCGGTTAAGTTCTGCCGCCCCAGCTCCTGTCGCACTCCCTGGCCAGGCCCTGACTGTGTGTTCTACCCTCTCACTCACATTACCCACCCCCCACTCCCATCCCCAGTCTTTGTTGAGGGGCCTGGGGAGGAATTCATCCACCTGTACTCCAGCTCCAGGCTAGAGATGAGGGCCAGAAGGGCTGAAGGCTCAAAGTTCCAAGCACCAGGACAGCCTCTGCATCCCCGTCTCCTTTTAATTCCCAGATGTGCAGGGAGCCACCATCAGTCTCCATGGCAACCGTGACCCTGGCCTCCCAAACTGGACCTTCCTGGAAAAACCCCATCTCCCAGAGAAAGGTATCCTGGCGTCTTGAAGGAGGAGACTTGAGAGGGTCTCATGCTGGACTGCTTTCCACAGCTTCTTTTGGGTTAGGATCTCCCAGGCCCTCATTTTCATAGGTGAAGTTGCGCTAACCCGGCTGGCAGAGAGGCCTGGTGTATTCCGTCCACTTTCAGCACCGACTTTGTGCTCCGTGGGTGCTGGACCCTGGCTGGGCTCCTGGGCCCAGTACAGGACAAGAGAGACAAGGCTCCAGGCCCAGGATTAGCCGCCTTCTAGGCGGGGAGACCTGCTATAAACAGGTCCACGAGGTCAACTTCCAGGAGGGCTAGGAATAAAATAAACCAAGGGAGGTGGAAGGAGGAGCACGCCTTTGGGAAGGTGGGGGTAGGCAACCTGGTGGAATCCAGGCAGAAGGAACATCAGGGGCAAGCCCCGGGGCAGGAAGCCTTAGAGTAGAGCAGCGGGACACTTTGCCTTCAGGGAAGAGCCTAGGAAGGGGTCTGGGTGTTGGAACAGGTCACTTCCCTCCTCACAGGACCGAAGGGAGGGTTAACCGAGACGAGGGGCGGGTTAACCGAGACGAGGGGAGGGTGAACCGAGACGAGGCTTGGCAAACCTCAGCACCGGGCCTGGCACGAATGTGCGCTCAGCCAGCCGTGACTGTTCTCCTTCACGGGCCATAGCGCCCACCGCTCCCTCCAGGGCCGGGGCCGGGCTGCGGTCGGCTGCGGGGTGCGAGGTGGGGCCGAGTCAGAGATCCAGTCCCAGCCCCAGTCACAAGGCGCAGGTCTAGGCAAGGGTGGGGAATCCCGGTCCCCGCGTCAGGGAGGCCCCTCGCCAGCTCCCGGGCAGGAGTCGATCTTCGCAAGGCGGCTTTGTCCGTGTTGCCAGAAATGAATGGGGGTGGGGCGGCCCGGGAGCTCCAGGTGCTCCGCGGCGCTAGGGCAGGGCTCGGCCAGCCCCGCCTCCAGTGCCCGGAGCAGGTGTCCCGGACCCTCGAGGCCCCGCATTCCACTCCTTCCTCCTTAACCCGGCCGTCCCTTTGATCCCGGGCCCGGGGTCACGGGCCCCTCCCCCGATGGGAGGTTAAGGGAAGGAGATGGGGCCTCAGAGCTGGAAGAGGGGGATGGGCTTAGGGCAGGTGGCGGGGACGGTGGCTTCTTGGGTGGCTGCCCCCGCTCCCTCCAGCCAGCCTGGGGGTTCCCCGGGTTCCTCCCGGGCTTTGGGGGGAGCGTCGGATGCCTGGGCGGAGGGCGGGGCCAGCCACCCCACAACCCCCGGGGTCTCCCCGCCCCTTTGGGCTCAGCGGAGCGGAGGTGAAACCTGAACCCAGGTTGGGGGCGGGGCTGGCTCCTGCTCTGGACGGGCCTGGCCTGCGCCTCCACCCCGTTCCCCTGCACCCCGGCCGCCTTCGGGAAGAGGAAGGTCGGGGTTCCCGAGCCGCTGGAGCAGGTGAGGTGGCTACTGAGAGCGGGACGGAAGACCAGGCGGCCGTCGGGCCTCGTCGCCCAAGGCTGATCCTCCTGCCTCCCTCCCCGATCCTCAGGGACCGCGATGGAGGCCACAGCCCGGGGTCGCGCCCCGCCCTGAGCGCCCTCGCCGGCAGCTATGCTGCCCCGAGGGCGCCCCAGGGCGCTGGGGGCCGCGGCGCTGCTGCTCCTGCTGCTTCTGATCGGATTCCTCCTGTTCGGCGGGGACTTGGAGTGTGAGCGCGGCGAGCGCGGAGGCGAGCGGAGGGGCCCGGGATCCTTCCCCTGCCCGCTGACGCCACGTGTCTCTGCAGACGGGCGGCCGCCGGGCGCTGGTACCCTAGACGGAGACCGGTCTGCGGACCGCGGGGGCCACAACCACTCGGACTGCGTCCCGCCGCCGCCGCCGCTGCCGAGGTGTGAGGTAGGTGCGCGCGGCCCCTGGCGGCGGAAATCTCAGGGGCGCCGCGCCCCCAGCCGGGCCTCCCTGGCACCTGTGGGAATGGCGACACCTGGCGAGGCTCCGCCAGGTGGCTCTGACACTGACCAGCCGGCCGGGGACGACTCCCCTGCTCCCGGCCTTAATTTTCCCTTTTGTGAAATAGGGGTGAACTCCTGCTCCGCGTGCCCCCACCCCAGTCTTCCTTAGCTCTGTTGCCGGGCGGGGCTCCGCTGCCCTAGGCCTGGCCAGCCCCGTCGTGGGCTCCGGTGGGGGAGGGGCTGCTGCTCACCTTGTCATCCCCTCCCCAGCTATTGCACGTGGCCATCGTGTGTGCGGGACACAACTCCAGCCGAGACCTCGTCACCCTGGTGAAGTCTGTGCTCTTCTACAGGTATAACCAGGTGTCCGGGTCGGAGGTGGGGAGTCAGCCAGTGGGGAAGGGAACACAGGCTTGGGCGGGATCTGGGAGCTCCAGTGACCCCACCTGCACCACAGGGACAGTGTCCCTTCCTCCCTTGAAGGTGGTTCTAACAGCATCCGAAACTGGGGATGGAAAAGCTCTGCAGAAGCTTGTGCTTCCACTTCTGAGCCCCTCCGGTGGGTCTTGTCCTGAGTTCTTCTTTCTTGGGCCTATCAGCTTTCCTCACCTGTCCTTCCCAAAGGAAAAATCCACTGCACTTCCATCTGGTGACTGATGCCGTGGCCAGGAACATTCTGGAGATGCTCTTCTATACGTGGATGGTGCCCGCTGTCCGGGTCAGCTTCTATGACGCAGAGGAGCTCAAGGCAGGGGCCCTGGCCCTTCTGGACTTCTTTCTGGCGGTGCCCAGTCCTTTCCTTCCTCCCAGGGCATCGGGGGTGGGGCGTGGGGGAGAGGTTAGAGCTGCCTTGGACCCCCCAATCCCATCACACCCACAGAAGCTCAAATTCCTCATCCTCCCTGGGGCCCATGCCTTCTTCCCCTCGTGTCACCCCTGGCGTATGTTCTGGCCCTCATAGGCCCTTCTCTGCCAGGTTCAAGCCCTGTCCTTCCCAACCCCCCTCCCACACAGCCCCACGTCTCCTGGATCCCCAACAAGCACTACTCTGGCCTGTACGGCCTCATGAAGCTAGTGCTGCCTGCTGCCCTGCCCCCTGACCTGGCCCGTGTCATTGTCCTGGACACAGATGTCACCTTCGCCTCTGATATCGCAGAGCTCTGGGCACTCTTTGCTCACTTTTCTGGTGAGAGGCCTGGGACCCAGCCCCAGCCAGTACCCCCTCCCTGGCCTGTCCAGGCCCAGCTGTGGCCTAGCCCTGAGCCGAGGGCCAGTGGCAGCCTCAGGCAGCTCCCTCATGCCCTCCCCTCCCAGACGAGCAGGTGATCGGTCTTGTGGAGAATCAGAGCGACTGGTACCTGGGCAACCTCTGGAGGAACCACAGGCCTTGGCCTGCCTTGGGCCGGGGATTTAACACAGGTGGGACAGTGGTCGGGGGAAGCGGGAGGGGTGACCACTGGTCAGGACACAGAATGCTAGGGACCCCCCCCACACACACACACACAAAGATAGTGCTATGGACACCAGGAGAAGAGCTGGAAAACCGTTCCAACCTTGGCTGTGCTGGATGACTTTGGCCAAGCTACCTGGTCCCCCGGGCCTCTTGATTTCTCATCCATGAAATGGGGATGATGTTGCCAGCCGTGGGATCACTTGAGTGGGAGAAGATGGCTGTGGAGGTGCTCTGTAAGCTGGGCGGTGCCCCCTTTCACCCCCAAAAGGAATGATGGTTGACTGAAGTGGTCCATGCTCCTGTCTGAACAGTCAGAAAATACCAATAAGTCAAAAAGTAGACATTCAAAAGACATCTTCATAAACCCTGACCCCAGGAGCAGGCTTAGCCCAGGTGGGCATGACGACCCCTTCCCCCGGGGCAGGTGTGATCCTCCTGCGGCTGGACCGGCTCCGGCAGGCTGGCTGGGGGCAGATGTGGAAGCTGACGGCCACACGGGAGCTCCTCACCCTGCCAGCCACCTCCCTGGCGGACCAGGTCTGGGGGGGACCTCTGACAGGGAGCAGTGGGAGGGTGAGGGGGGCAGGCTCTGGGCCACGACACAATGGCTGTCTCTGCCCAGGACATCTTCAATGCTGTAATCAAGGAACACCCGGGGTTGGTGCAGCCCCTGCCCTGCATCTGGAACGTTCAGCTGTCAGACCACACGCTGGCTGAGCGCTGCTACTCGGAGGCGTCTGATCTCAAGGTCAGTGGGGTTGGGGCTGAGCGGTGGGCTTCTGGTCCCTGCGCCCATCCCCCGAACACCACCCTCCTGGGTCCCAGGTAATCCACTGGAACTCACCCAAGAAGCTTCGCGTGAAGAACAAGCACGTGGGATACTTCCGCAACCTCCACCTGACCTTCCTGGGGTATGACGGCAGCCTCCTGCGGAGAGAGCTCTTCGGCTGCCCCAGCCCACCCCCGTCCGGGGCCGAGCAGGTGAGAGGGAGCTGCCTTCCCTCACCTTAGGGAGGCTCTGCCCCCTCCCTGTTCTGATGGGACCCGGCCTTGTCTGGGGACTTGCCCTCCCGCCCCAGCCCCGGCACTCGTCTCCCCGAAACACCCTCAGGTGCAGCGGGCCCTGGCGCACCTGGACGAGGAAGATGCCTGCTTCGAGTTCCGGCAGCAGCAGCTCACTGTGCACCGCGTGCATCTGACCTTCCTGCCCCATGAGCCACTGCCCCCCCGGCCTCACGACGTCACACTAGTGGCCCAGCTCTCTATGGACCGGTGAGAGTACCGGGGAGCAAGGCAGGGGCTGGGATGGGGGATTCCGAGAGGACGGTTTCAGTGGGTGGGAGGAAGAGCTCTTGTTCGCTGCCTGAGGATTGAGGAGTTCCCGGATCCGGAGACATGGGCTGTGGTTAAGAGCTTGGGTGCCTGGGCACCAACGTCCATAGCTGGGGGACCATGGGCAAGTCTGCATATCTCTAGCCTTTGCTGTTCTTACCTGTTCCCTGGGAAGGGGCCCCCTTGTGGGGTCGTTGTGCAGGTCAGGTAAGACTGGCTTAGAAAGGCCCGGGAAGGTGCTCAGTCATCCATGGGAAGGGGTGTCTGCGGCAGCTGCCCCGGGGAGCTGCCCCAGCGGGCTGACCACCCCCCTCGCCCCAGGCTGCAGATGCTGGAAGCCCTGTGCAGACACTGGCCGGGCCCCATGAGCCTGGCCTTATACCTCACAGACGCAGAGGCCCAGCAGTTCCTACGTTTCGTCGAGGCCTCAGCAGTGCTCTCTGCCCGGCAGAACGTGGCCTACCACGTGGTATACCGCGAGGGTCCCCTCTACCCTGTCAACCAGCTGCGGAACGTGGCATTGGCCCAGTCCCTCACGCCTTATGTCTTCCTCAGCGACATTGACTTCCTGCCTGCCTATTCCCTCTACGACTACCTCAGGTGGGCCCGGGGAGGAGGGAGTGGAGCGGCAGACGGGTATGTGTGGACTGGGACCCTAGGCAAGTGTGTGGTGGCTCCTTTGTGGGCTTCCATGTCCCCTGTAAGATGGGGTTCGTAGCAGGGTGGAGGGGCTGTATCAGCTCTCCGGGCTGCCTTCGGAGAGGAGGGGAGGCTGGGAGCTGCTTCCCGCAGCAGCCCCCCACTTGTCTGTCTCCTGCGGGTGGTCGGGCCAGCTAGCCTTGGGTCCTGCGGCAAAGGAAAGGGAATCGCTGGGCCCGGAGCCTTCCTCGCCTCCGGCGCTCATGGGCGCTCCCCGCTCAGGGCCTCCATCGAGCAGCTGAAGCTGGGCAGCGAGCGGAAAGCGGCCCTGGTGGTGCCAGCGTTCGAGACCCTGCACTACCGCTTCCGCTTTCCCAGTTCCAAGGCCGAGCTGCTGGCCTTGCTGGACTCCGGCTCTCTCTACACCTTCAGGTAGGGGAGGCCCCTGCTCGGCTCTACTCCCAGGCCCATACGGCTCCCCCCACCCTCTCACCGAGGCCCATCCTGTTCCACAGGTACCACGAGTGGCCCCGGGGTCACGCGCCCACAGACTATGCCCGCTGGCGGGAGGCTCAGACCCCATACCGGGTACAGTGGGCCGCTGACTACGAGCCCTATGTGGTGGTGCCTCGTGATTGTCCCCGCTATGACCCCCGATTTGTAGGCTTTGGCTGGAACAAGGTGGCCCACATCGTGGAGCTGGATGCACAGGTGAGGATGTGCCTCACCGCCTCCAGTTTCAATTTGGATACCTCCAGGCCCAGGGAGCTCACTACACCTCGGCTCGGCACACGGCACCCTTAAGCAGTACTATTAGAAATTTCACTGGTGTAGAACTAAAATCTGCCCTTTGACCCTTACTTTGGGTATTAGAGGCGATCAGATAAGCCTGCTCCCCATCCCCCGGAGCTGCAGCCCTCCCCCCAGCACAGACAGTGGATGTCCGTCTGCTTCTGTCCTATAGGAATACGAGCTCCTGGTGCTGCCCGAGGCCTTCGCCATCCACCTGCCGCATGCCCCGAGCCTTGACATCTCTCGCTTCCGCTCCAGCCCCACCTATCGTGACTGCCTCCAGGTCCTCAAGGATGAGTTCCACCAGGACTTGTCCCGTCACTACGGGGCTGCTGCCCTCAAATACCTCACTGCCCTGCAGCCGCCCCGAGGCCCCACCTGACCTCCCGGAGGCTGGGCCTTGCATGGCTCACCCCTGCGCTTCCCCTTGGCTCTCACGGGCTCCCTGTAGACACTGGAGCGACCTGGCCACCCTCCCTACCCTCCCGCTACTTAAATTATTGAAGGTCTAGGTGGAAAGGGCTTCCGTTGGAGCACCTGTGGGGCGGGTCCTGGGGGCCTCCCCTTGCTGCTACAGCTGGGGTCTACTCTCCTGCTGCCCCAGCTGTTTGGGGCTGGTTCCCCACCTTCATCTGTACATCCCTTTTTTGTAGTTAAAGTTCTCTTTTTCATGTTCCATCTGGTTTGGGGCATGAGGGTGTGGGTCAGCCGGGAAGGGGCTGAGTCTCCCCGGAGTTGCAGGAAGGCCGGGACCCGAGTGTGTCTTGCCCACCCTCCCCTGCCCCAAACCCAACACCATGAGGCTGAGAGACTTTATTTGGCTTTATTTAGTAAAATGTTAAAATAAATAAATACAAATTGATCAGCTGCTCTGGATCCCCCCCACCCCCTCAAAACAAAAATGAAACAAACAAAAACAAAAACTTTGAAGCACAAAACTCCAAATACAAGTTCTACCAAGACTGAAATCACAAAGGGCGTGGACAAGAGACAGGATTGGGGGCTGGCTGGCTCTTTTCTGCTCGGAGCTCGCTGACCTCTGGCTGCCCGTCCTGTCCTGCCTGACTGCAGCTTCCCCTGGGCTGAGGACCCAACGACACAGAGGCGCAGAGGCCAAAGGCTGCTGTGGGGGGTGGGGGGAGTCCTCAGGGAGGAAGGGCCCTGTGGGAGGGGGGAGCAAAGCGGAATTTGTGAGCCCTGTCCTTCCTCTGCGAGGGCGATTTTTCAGTTCTTCCCTGGCTCTCCGGAGGGGGCGACCTGGTGGCCTCCCCTTCACTAATGCCGGAGGGCCAGGGCTGTATTCCCGGGGGCCACCCCCTCCCTTGGAGAGGAGCGGACACCGAGGATGGCTGTAAGCCAGGGTGCGAACGGGTCTCCTGTTTCCCACCAGGGGTGCCCAGCCGAGGGGTGGGGGTGAGGCCCACAGTCCTTTACACTGAGCAAAGTTGCCCCTATCCAACAGAAGCCATGGAACCTGGAGAACCCAGGGCCTGGAGAATACCTGGGCCACCATCCGCCCTACTACCCAGAAGAGCCTTTTACCCCTGGGGTAAAAGTCTCCTAAATTAAGCCCTTTGGATAAATAAGAAAGATCACACCCTAAAAGGGAGTGAAGGGAGGAAACCGCTTAGAGCGTGTCCTGCGACTTGGGAGTGAGAGCCCCGAGGGGCTCTGCTGGCCCCAAGAGGAAGTCTCAGAGATGGCTGGAGGGCCAACGGTACGTGCAGACTCAGTGCGCGGGAGACGGTCCCCCTCACGGAGAGAAGCGCGGGGGCAGCCGCTGTGCCGGTTCGCACCGCCTGTCGGGCCGAGCCAGGAAGAAGCTGGGACAGGCAGGCCCCGCGGGGAAACGGGCACCCAGCTGCTACAGCCGGAGGTGGCCGGGGTGCAGCCCCACACGGGAACGCCCCACCGGGGCTGCCCCGAGCCTGGTCGCCCCAAGGGGCCTGATCAGGATGGGAGAAAGCACAACTCGGGATGAGCTCAGCAGCGATGAGACAAGACCCAGCAGGCTCCGGGAGAGAAGAAGGACCTGCGGGCGGCATTGGCAAGAACGCGAGAGGCGGGAAGATGACAGTAACATGAGCTCACCGGCTCCAGGGTGCGGTGCCTGCACCACTGGCCTCCTGATCAAGGGCCCGGGGGGGGGGGGGCAGCCAGCTCCTCGTCCCAGATCAGCCACTCCCCAGCCTCTGACGCGACTGCCAAGCCAGCTGGTCTGAGATGGCCTGTGAGCAGCTGGGCCTGGCATGGCGGAAGAGCAGCAGAGGAGAGGAGAGGAGAGGAGAGGAGAGGAGAGGAGGGCGGTGGAGACAGCCCAGGTGAGGCAGTCCCGAATGTGTGTCTCAGGGGGTCACAAGCACCCAAGGTCTAGGGCACAGAGAGACGGTCTTCTCCTGGCAGGACAGTAGAGGAAAAGGAGACAGGGTGACCAGGGCCTTTTCTCGGCAGTAAGTAGAGTTTGGGAATTTGAGGCCAGAATGTGCGGGCCTGGAGGCAGGGCTGCATTTCGTACTCCATGCCGGCCGGCTCACAGAACACCTTGCGTCCGCACTTTAGGAACAATCCATATCCCAACCTCAGGCAAGGCCAGAGTGTGAGTTCTCACAGCAGCAGGCGAGATACCGGTCAATGCCTAGCTCTACCCACCCCCGCCCCCGTCTCCGCCGACACCCCAAGAATTCTCAGGCAGCTCCTCTCTGAGCAAAGGCTTCTAGTGATGATCGCTTCCTAACTTCTTTCAAGAAAAGATAGGTATCATATGGCAACTCCCAGTCCCTGGGCCCAGACAAGTCTAGTGGGAGAGCTTAAGACCGGGCGCACAGCCTGCTGCTGGGCTCCGAACCTCTGCCAGCTATGCCTCCGACCAGTCCAGGCATCTCCAAAGCCCCCTGACTAGACGTAGCACCTTGGTTTCTGCAGGAGAAAAGGGGAGCTCCCCGTCCCCCTCAGGCAACCTCGCAGCCAGGGCCTGACTCTGAGGCCTGTGCAGCCACTCTTAATCCCCTAACCTTCCTGGGAAGGTGAAATGGCCAGTAGAGATGAGGCATATTTGACCTAAGAAGTGTCCCTTTCTCTTGGATTTGCTTTCAGGTTTCTAATGGGGATCTCTGGGACTTACCGGGCAAAGGAGAAACTAACGGGACCTTTTCTGCCCCTTCTAGACTCTGGCCATTATGCAGTACGGGGCGGGCTTGGGAGAGCTGTCCCAGGAGAGCTGGGGTGAGGAGCGCCTGCCTCCCTTCTATTGGCCACACAACATCGGGCCAAGGTCTCCGACGACAGCACACACCTGACAAAATTTACTTCCCACGAGGCAAGATGAGAGAAATGTTCCGAGCCTTTCAGAACCCTGGTTTTTTCAAGAAGGAGACGGGTCACGCCAAGGCAAGCACAGCGATTCTAGCCAAAGGTTGCCCAGGAAGCTTGTGGATGGGCAAAGGGCAGTAAACTCTATCTCGGGTACCTGGAGCCAGCAGGCAGAAAAAGCGGCTGCAGAGTCAGACCTCTTCAAAGGCAAGACAGACACAAAGGCCACGCCGGGGCTCTTTGTCTCAGAGACACCATGTACCCTCAAGACATCTCACTCCTTCATCCTTTCTCAGCACCAAGGGCTGATGCAGCCAGCCTGCCCCTTGCACCCTCCCACCAAGGCCAGGGTGCACGGGCACCAATGAGTGTCACTGGCCATGTCCTTCAAAGCTGTCCCCCAGGCACTCACAATGCTGGTGGCTGAAAGACGGAGAGCAGCACCAAAGGAAGGGATCTTATTTAGGCACCAGCCTTTTGCTCTAGCAAAATCCGAGGAGACAATGGGTAGGGTAGGGCCCTGATACCAACCACACTCCACGTGGGCTTCAAGAACAGAAGCCCAGATCCCTGCGCCAAGAAGAGAGGACAGTCCTTTCCGAGGAGAGGAGAGTGGTGGGAGGGCTCGGCTGCTGCCCGTCAGGGCTGCAGCCGTCCAGAGCACAGCAATCATGGACACTAGCCCGCCAGTCTTGAGACACCAAACACAGCAAAATGTTATCATGATCAGCAGGTTCTGTGCTAAAAAATTATAACTACACAGCATTTTCTCCAGTTCTGACACCTTTTTAATAGAAATCACTGTTTTTAGGAAACAAATAGCACTTTTGTAATTTTTTTTTTACAATGTTTCTTACCTTGATCTTAATTTAAGTAACACTAGGAAGACCTCAATATCTTTTATTTTCCTTTTTAATTTAAAAAAAAGTTGTTGTTGTTGTTTTCCCCAGATACAAAGATTTTTGCCCTTGCATAAAAAACAGTGCCCGGACGATGACACAAGGACTCACACGGACTCACTGGACCTCACTGACACTATGACTCCTACCCTACCATGCACGGCCTCGACTACCCTTAATTGACTGTCAGCCTGAAAAACAGCTTTTCTATTCCTTATTTTAGTTTTTGTTACCAAAAAAGTAAAATAAACAACAAAATAAAACTTTTCTTAAAGAAAAACAAAACAAAACAAAAATTTAAAAAAAAAAAAAGAGAAAAGAAACATCTCCATTCAGTTCACACACACCTGGGTCGCGTGCTGCTTCGCTCAGAATCTTCTCTTCTTATAAATATAGAAAAGGGATGGAGCTTGTTTTCAAGTAAAAATCACTGATCCACCTTTTTTTCCTTCCTGGACACACACACCCTTCTTCCCTGCCCCGGGCAATGGCCCGCTAGGGCGGCCTCTTGCCTGTTCTCGGAGAGGAAAGGTAACCGGACCATTCACGGGACGCACGCCAATTTGCCAAAGCGGGGAAGGAGCGCGGGGAGTGGCGGGGGTACCCAGGGCGGGAGGTGGGGTGTGCGGGAGAAGGACCCCGTGGCTGCCCTCGGTGTCCCCCTCTCCGTGCACTGGGCCCCACCCCAGACAATAGGAAATACTGCTTATTTGATAGACTTTTCCCACCCCGGCTCCCCCCCATTCCCTCCCATCCCTCCTCTGGGCACTGGGGTTGGTTAAATCTCAATTTCCTTTTTTTGGTTTTATAGTAGTGAAGGTTTAGAAACAGGAAAGCCCACACACTCTTTGGACTTGTCTTCTCTACCTAAACAAACGGCTCGGCAAATAAGGATCTGAAACCTGCTCTCCTCCCTCCGCCCGTCCCTGCTCCCCACCCGACAAAACAAAAACAAACCCATGGTGGCTGTGGAGGCTGCTGCAGGCACACACTGGTGTATAATAGAGAGAGTAAATATATTATTTCACTTGGCATGGTGCTGGCAAAGGACCTCCAGCTGGCACTATTTCATGTAACATGGTCCAATCTTTGCATGTACACACAGAATAAGAAGGATCGATTGGCAAACTCTGGTGCCGCCTGGCACAAGCATCTTCTCTCTCTCTGGAACCAAAGAACCAAAAGAATTCTGTACTTTCCAGAAGAAATCCGGCTTTGCTTTTCTAGAGTCTTCAGTGTTTTTGCTCTCCTGGCTGCCGGGATCCCGTGGCTTCTCCTCGCGGGGCTCTGTTATTTAGTCTCGTCCCCCTGGGTACAGTTCGCTGTGCAGCTCTGGGAGGAGGGGGAGTGGGCCGGCGTGGAGGTGGCGGCGTTGGCAGGGGGGGTGCAGTCCGGGCCGTTGGAGATGGCCCCCACAGTGGCCTCAGAGTCTACAGGTTTGGAGAGGTCGATGCCGTGGATGAGGCGGATCAGCTGCTTTACCTTCTCCAGGGAGCTGTGCATCTCCTTCTGCCGGGCCAAGATGGTGTTCTTCATTTCCATGCATTTCTGCAGCAAATGAGAAGGGCAGTGGCACTGAGCCTCCGTGGCTTTTCTGGCAGGCCTGGCGGCCCTCTCCAGGGAAAAGAACCCTGCTGGCTGGTGTGCAGCCCCT